GTTTAGAGAGTTTTAAACCAGCTAAGAAGTACAGATTGAAGATCTGTTCTCAAATCTAGTTCTGTCAGCTCTATGCAACAGAATACTAACCAAAAATCCATGTTCACAACTACGGATAGATTACAACCACTTCAGTCACACTCACCAAGCAATAATTTTTAAATGCAGTTAAACAGGAAGCTCATTTTTCATGTCAAATACAACAACACACTGCAACATTAACAAATGTATAGAGACTATCAAGGAAAACTAATAAAATTAGTGAAGTGTCAGAGATTTGCACTACAGTGCTTTGTAAACTCTCACAAGAGGATATCTCTCAGACAATAACCTTCTAAAAATGGAAAACAGACTCTCCCCCCATGTCAGGGCAAGGGGACTATCAAAAAAAACTAAGTTAAAATTAGTGAAGTGTCAGATTTGTACTACAGTGCTTTGTAAACTCTCACAAGAGGATATCTCTCAGACAATAACCTTCTAAAAATGGAAAACAGACTCTCCCCCCATGTCAGGGCAAGGGAGAAGTATTTATCTAATAGATATTTAACAGGCAGATTCACATTACCTCCTACAACACAGTTTCATTTAGGAGCTAAGTGAACACCACAAATGTTCTACATTTTTTAAGCCTCCTCTCATAAAAACACTGAGGGCAATACTCCTTTGAGTAATGATGACAGGACCAGACTCCCTCTGGAGCTCATCAATTTTTCTCCTCAACTGACCTAGCCAACTGCTGTTTAACAATACACGAAGCACTCCCTCCTCACCAAAGGCTTTGTGTCTCGCTTTTAATGTTTTTCATCAGCTTTGTCATAAGAAACTCTGAATAAAAGCCTCAAACATCAGCCTCCTGCACTGTGGTACAGATGGAAACTCAAGCCGTACAGGCCATCTCATCGACATCGCTTCTTGACTCGCAGTCCAAATGTAAGCAGACTCCTGTTTAATAAGGCAACAGCTCTCAAGTATGCTGAGCTTGTAGGTTTGATTAAATAAGTGGTGATAAAATGCTTCTGTGAATGAAGACTTCTTTCTAGCTCACACCTGTTTGGGACCTCTTGCAATCTTGCCAGTTAACCGCTCTGAAAAGCATGCCCTTCTGCAGGTCATAATGGGTAAGTAAAAACCAAACCAAAACACAAAACATCCTACTCCCCCTCCTCCCCCAGCAACCCAAGGCATGCTTACTCTTTGAATCAGACAGCAGCTGAGCTGACATGTGGTTCACTTGCCAGCTTTCTGAAATTGCACTACTGGGGAGCTCTAGGATTTTGATATTCAAACTTTGTATTTGTACCGCCAACATTTAACCTCACATTCCAGGGTGGGGTTGGGCTCAGAGCCTGGGACATTCCAAAAAGCATTCCAACCAGCAAGGCCCCAGAGGTAGCCCCACAGCGAGCGTATCCATGCTAAAAGGCTAGTAAAAATATCTTTGCGTTCCCATTCACTTTTCTAATAAGCAAAGCACATGTAGCCTACAGGGAGGACAAGTTACAGTTCTCCCCGTACCCATGGATCACACTTCAGCAGGTACCGGTACGAACAGTTTCTGCAGCACCAGCATCAAGAAGCAAAACACAGCTACTTTTTTGTTTGCTTGTTGTAACCTTGTGACACAAAAAACACAGTTGCTTCACTGAATACCATAGGATTAATAGTGAAACATTTTCACTAAGCAAATACTTAAAATAGAGCACAGCTTTGGTTAGTATTGACCAAGTATCATATTCACACCACATTAAAATTGGAGGAAAAAAAAATTCCGAAGAGCAAGGCTAAATATCCTCCAACCCAACTGTGGTCTCAATTGCCACCCTATGCAAGAATGCAGAAGTGCAATGGCTGGATCATTAAATACTGCAGAAGTCAGCATATTTTTCTGGAAAAAAAAAATCTGCCACCTTCTGTTTATGAAAGGTACAGCAGAAAAGAGAACAGAGGAAACTCAGAGACTAGTCACCAGTGCAGTTTACTCTTTAAAAGTAATGTGAATAGAACACTTTCTAGAAGGAAAGCACTGGTCACTGAAGTAATTTAAAACCAATGCTGGGAAGGGAACATACATAGTAAATACAGCTATCCTATAGAACTGTTTAGGATTAACTGAATGATCAAAGTAGGATAATGAGTCACACACTAGTTGTAGTAGGAGTTAAGAGGAATGAAAGCATGTAACAAAGTCATTAAACCAAAACATTCTGACATGCACACACACATATAGACAATTGCAGATTTTCTTTAGTTCTGTTTGAAACTGATCAAGGGTATCAAACACGTTATGCTTTCTAGCCCTTTGCCAGAATTTACAGCCCTTCTATATTTAGCCCTGAATGCTCATTCCAGCTGAGTGACTCCTCACTCTCATTTTCACATGCTCTGTTTGGCCTAGCTATGGCCATCCATAATTACAGCAGACAACCTCATTAATGTATACAACTATTACAATTAAGAGAAGTGTAAGCATTAGTGACCACATAATTTAAGTAAAGATTTGGACACATGCACTTATTAGCAAACAGAAACACACCCCCCAAAACTTTTGATTTAATATAACTACAATACCTATAACTTCACAGACCAGCATTAACGTAGTATTTCTTTCAGCTCACAGAGAACTAGATAGCCAGTATTATCCAAATCTCTCCATCAACCAAACCAAGGCACGTATTCTGGAACATAAGATGACTACTAAAGTATCTACATGTGAGGGTATTCGTACAACCTCAACAACAACTATAGTTCCATGTGAATTTTTGACAGCATACTGCAGAAATCTGCTCAGCTGTTCAACATAAAACCAAATTTTACATTCTCAACTGCCACCGCAGTCACCCATCTCTCACCATAAACGTGTGCTCTGAATTGCATTTTAAGTCAATTGCTGCACAGAAACAATGTGAAAAGTCTGCACAGGGTACACCTCCCTAAGGAGGCAGGAAGGATGCATGTTCACATCATGTGACAAAATATCATGAGAAAAAAAGAAAAAGTACAAATACTGTTATAAAGGTCTTGGTTCCAACACTGGATAATCCTCTCTTTTCTGAAAGAGGTCCCTATCAACTGTGGCAGACTTCCTCCTGAGTGATTTTTCTTTGGGCTTTTCTATGAGCCAAGGCAGAAATTACCTGCTCCCTACGGTTGGCTTATCTATAAATTGGTCCCAATCCACCGCACTTTCCACCAACCCAAAGTAATTGCTGCCATACAAGTCTGCACTGTTCAGGCACCACCACCTACAATAATTGGGGTGTATCCAAAGATTCAGTTTTAATTTTAGACAGACAACGACAAGAGATGAAGCCAGATTCTTCTAAGTGTCAGGGCAAGAGCCAACGGGCTCAAACTGAAATACAGGATATTTCATGCAGATACAAGAAGAAAAAAACACCTTTTTTTTTACCATAAGGGTGATCAAACACTGGTACAGGTTCCCAAGAAAGGTCATGGAGTCCAATTACTTGGAGATACACAAAACCCAGCCAGACACAGTCCTGCGAGACTTGCTCTAGTTGACCCTGATTTGAGCAGGGGCGTTGGACCAGTTCATCTCCAGAGGTCCCTTCCAAGCTCAAACATTCTATGATATTAGACCTTGCAAGCCACACTGCTAGCAAGAGCTAAGAATTACTTTTTCTCTGTTAATCTATGACAGCTCCAAATAGTCCTGACAAAAACAAGACACCCAGATAGCACTCACAATAGGAAAATGGCTCCTTCTGAAATTTCTGATTATTACTGCAAATTCTTTTGCTCTTAGAAGCAAAATTCTAGCACTAAAGTTACATCAAATGTAAGCTTATTTAACTGCATTTACTGCAATGTACAAAGTGAGCAAGAAAAACTCTTATTCTTAGACCGTACAGCAGACGTTTTAAATATGAATACACATCTATTTAATTTCACAAGTCTGAACATTATCTGGTGAGATATTGTTCTTCCATTGTAAAAGAATAGTTTAATGCTGGCACTGGCACTTGAAGAAAAATATTCAAATTTTTAAATAGGAAGATTATTTATGAACTATACCCAAACTAATAACATTTTTATGTTCTTTATATGAAATACTTTAGAGATCATGACATGATATCCCTGTCATTTTGTTTTCAGACCAGAATTGATAATCTGAAGATCCCTCACCCTGTTGAGGAAAACAAAACCACCATTGCAACAAACCATTAATAACCAAAATCCTTGAAATTTTCTTAATCCATGAAGACATGCTTTTAGGGATTCAAAACCCTAACTTAAGTCAGACAAACTCAGCTGAATTAATATGAAATCAGACTGGGTCTGTATCCTCTCTTGGCATATAGCATGTACTTATAGTTTTTATAGTTTACTTTAATAGGAAGTTAGGATGATGGCAAATTATGAAGAGAACATGTGCCTTTGATTACGACCACCAGGATCACTAACAGCTAAATACTGAGGCAAAATAGATCACATTTCAAGAACAAACACATAAGGCCATATTTGGATGCCCATTACTGCAAGTAACATACTTGTAGACATTCACTAGAACTTCCAAGTTCAAAAGAACACAGCAGCTCAAAGTGCCTTCATTCAACAAATTCATGGCTACCAAGCTTGACTCCAATTCCTTACTGGAAGGCACAGCTGTAATACTGAAGACCAGGAAAGGATGGTTAATTCTCATTGTCAGATTTCTGGGATGTAGCAGAGATTATTAAAGAAGAATATTATTTCCATGCTAGTGTTACAATTTCTAAGTCCTTCTCTCTGCAAAAATCTTTTTTCTTGATATATGACGGGTGTAAACAAAGCTTGGAAGACATGCATAAAACTCATTCGATAAAACCATATCTACTTAGCTACTAATACTTTCCTACAATAATATTTCAGATTAACCACATAGTTACATAAGGAATCCATCTGTTTATGGATCATGTATTCATATATCTCTTGCCAGCACACTGTAGACTTCTTCAAAATAAAAAACAAGTAATAAAAGCAATGACAAAACGAATTCAAAAATATCTGATATTTTAAAAAATTTATTACTTGGGATAATCTTCTCAATGTTCTTTAAAATCAAGTTGCTAATTTATCCTGTCTAAAAGGCACCATAGGGACAGTGAGTGGTGAACAGTAAACATCTCATTGGTGTTCTCCACAGCTGGGGAATTTATCTGTCTCCAGGAGTATCCAAATGAAACGTGAACAGCAAGACATACAAATAGGAGCTAATTTGTAGCTGCATAGGCATGAAGCCTCTAATTTCCATGCTATCGTGGCATTTTAGGCACATTCATGTCAGAGGTTTCTTCAATAAAATTAGCTTTTTTATGGGAAGGCTCAGCAAGATCTTCTCCGCAGTCTCTGTTATTCAAGCGCTCCTGGTCTTCCCTCTTGCGTTTGTTAATCAGGTGATTTTCTCCCTCACACAGCTTTCCCTCTGGGACACCCAATGTTCTCAAGCAGACAATAGCTGCAGCCTGTTCTGCTAGCTTCTTTGACTTGTCCCTGAAGAGCAAGCAGACAGAGCACAGGTAAAAGTAGAAACTGCAGTCTCTACACTGCCAAAAGACAACCAATTTCCTGTCTCTGATGCAACACCATGAAATAAACAGCATTTGTAGTCATCTTACAGCAGAAGAACAAAACAGGTCAGTTCCAGAAATTATTTGAATCTTGCTGGATGTCAATGTTGATGCATCACTCCTGATGTAATATTCCTAAAAAATCTGCTTCTAATCAGGTCTCGCATCTCAAACACTCTTCAGTTGAAAGGTATGAAGCCAACATGTGTTTGGCCCAAGTGGCTGCAATGCTCAGAAAGTTCACATTTACAAATATGATCACTAAACAAAACTGAGTTTTGCAGGATTACTTCCTTGAAAGACACTCAGGCCCAAATATAATCACTGACAGGCATACAGATTCATCAACGCTGACAAAAGCAGGAACTGTTCCATAATTATAAAAATTCCATAGTTTCCAAGAGAGACTGCTGATTACACATTTGTGAAATTCAATATTTGAAAACATTTTCTTCCCAAAGTTTCCTATCAGCTGAGCTTAACTTCCTAAATTCTCTGAACAGGAATGCTGCAAACACCAGTAATTGTTGCATGCACTTGTCCTCTTTAAAATGTTCAACGCTGAGCTCTATCTTTGCAATTAAATCAAGTTCAACTTGGGTGCAAATGCCCCAAGCCAACCTCAGTATTAATAGATGACTGTATAAAATATTGTCATGAAACTTAAAAGCAGCCCTGGATGTAACTGTTGATTAACTGTGATCTCTGAGAAGCTACTAAACCATCCTTTGCTTCGCTGTATATAGACACTTAATCCTGACTTGCTCTTGAGAATGGATCTGCTGCAGTGGCTGAAGACACTCCCTCCTCCTCTGTTCCCCTCTGCCTCCCATGGGTAGTTTCTGAACTCTTCACGGACACAACTGAACCAGGTCACCTATTTGCTCCCCTTCCAATACAACTTGTGGACTAATGTACTAAGTGAATTAAAATCTCTAATGGTTTACTTGATTATGTTAAAGCTTACTTCCTCTTGTCACATTCAATTCTCAGAAATTTTTAATCCTTTCTCCCTCCAGAGGTAGTTTTAGAAGGTAGGAATAAACCAGAGTACCCTTTCATTGCAAGTTTTAAGCAATATTTCAGAAACAATTACAATACATCTGCAAAAACCATTAAGGATAGCTTACCACAGAGTTGATCTGTATTTTTGCTCAGCTACTGTCACTACTGAACAGAATAATCTATCCAGTGGTCTTTGAACCTGGAGAAAATAAAAAAAAAGAATTAAAAAGGAGGAGGGTGTCAAAAACAGTCATGTCATTTACAGAACAAACAACATTGTCAAGGTTCCTTGTTGTTCTTGTCTTTACACCACAGTCAAGTAACATCTTTAAAATTACAGTAATTCACACCACAAATTTAACCCTGCACATTTAAGATTAAAAAAATATTAAGAAATTGTCCAAACTGCAAATATTTTTGCTTTACCAAAAAAATAATCAAATAATGTCCCCACCAAACCAAGCAGTTGCTCGTATCCAGTATAGCTCATACTTACAACACTGTGCAACAGAGAAAACATTCTGAATCCAAATTCTTTACTTAACAGAAGAAGTAAAAGAAAGTCAGTCAGGGACTCCTATGTAATGACCTGTACTTACAGCAACTTCTTTCACACAATGAAACAAAACCAGATTGAAGGTCTGACTTTTAAATATTTGCTTTCTAATAAAATAAGCTGCTATTTTCATACATATGTGTATTGCCGTCTCTGAAGCTGCTTACTCAACAGCTACGCCAGATTGGGAAGCTGAATTTCTCACTACCTTGAGTCCTAAAATACTTAATTTCATAGACAAGGCAGAGGAAGAGGTTTGAAAGAGTTTCTTCATGGACTCACAGTTTCATAAACAGGCTGAGGATGCTTTTCTTTCCTACACCATTCCAGAAGATACATTTTTGGTGTAATCTGTGGTGGATATTCTCGCCTAGACAGAAAAATTTGTGGTCAACAACTGTGCACAGAGTTTACTTACTAAACATCTATTTTAAAACAGACAGTGCTGCTTATTGTATTACTTATACCAGTTATTCTTTGTGGTTTAATTTTACAGCTCAAATTATGAGAAAAATGCTGCTTCCTTAAAGTCAAGTAATATGTCTGACATAACATCTAAAGTAAGATCTAAACTTTTGTACTGATTCTTCCCAAAAATTCACACCCTATAGTAATACAACTAGAGAAAAGACACTTACCAGAAAGGAGATTCTAACTAAATATATGACAAAGGCACTGCCTATTATAAGCAACAATATAAGATTAAACACTAAAAGAAAAAAAAAAAAAAGCTGCTTCTGTTACGAGACAGTAGAGGTGTCAAATCAAAAAGGGTACAAAAGGTAGGCATTGATTCAGTTACTGACATGGAATTACAGCCACTCGTACTTGACAGGAAAAAAAATTTACTGTAAAACCACTGTATTCAATCCTCAGGGAGTCAGGTAATACATCCTGTAAATATTAAAGCATTATGGCTGGACTCAGAGTATTTTATATCACACTCTTTTTGAGCAGTTTGGTAGACTTAATAGCAAACATAGGTATAACACAGAAACTAACAGCAATTCTATGTGTTTCACATATTATAATCAAAGGTTACTTAAAATAACATTGTGCATAACTCCATGAATTAGTTTTTCAAGGAGTACCTTATGAGTGGAACTCATTTAGAATACTGCAGACAAGCACCCATGTTATCTGCTTAGAAAAGAGTATTACGAAATTTGTGCAGGACTTTTTATAGAAAAACTGTTGTGTTTTAGTTAAATTTCACCAAAAATAACTGAACTCTATATCTTTGTATACTCACATTCTTCTATGTACAGATGTTTGGATTTTTTCTTAAATCACTTAGCACTTTTAGCAAGTTAACTAAGAGAATTAGGCCATCTCAGGAAGCTTCATAAAAATTCACTCAGTAAGCACTGTTATGCAAATTGTTATTTTCAAAAAACTGCAAGATACTGTCAAATGAAGTTTTTAATTTACAGATTCAAGAAAGTGAAAAGCTTAATTTGCATGCTTACTTGTCAAATCTAACAGCCATTTTTATTACATCTGGATCTTCCATTTGGCCATCTTCATCTTGTGTCTCTGTTTCTAAAGATGTTTTCTTTGCTTCGAAAATAGCTGTTGTTTCTTCATAGAAGTCAGCCATTTCAAAGACTTCACTATTCAAAAAGAATTCCTTCATATTAGAGATTAACTTATACATTTTTGTATCATATTATGGCAGAGAAAAATAAGTATAGGAATCAGTTGTGTTTTAAACAGAGTATATATGTACAGAGAATCACAAGAATGTGTGACTATATTCTGCACAGTGACATTATATTGTTTCTCCTTCGATTCTTATAAGACACTTTTGAGCTACAAGTAGAAAAACAACGCTCTAATTTCCTGCACTATATATTCAATTTGCAGCCTGAAAATCCAGGCAGAATCAATCAAAAATACAGGTCCTGCAGTGTTCAAGTTATTAGCTCAATTAATAACTTACAGGTGGATGAATCAGCAAATATCTCCAAGTGACTACTGGTGCATGCACAAGGGCAAATGAGCAAAAAGTAGGAAATAGGTTATTCTTCTAGTCTCAGTATTTAAAATACTATAAGCAATAAACACTATAACATCCAAATACCTCAAATCTCAGATTTTCTGACTTCAGAAGAAGACCCAATATAAGGGAGGAAGCAATTAGGATTTGGGTCAAAGGCAAGAGCCTCAAATCCTTTTAAATTTCAGATCCCTAGCAGGCTGTGTCTACTTTGAAAAACTGAGACTATTCATTCTCTGCAGATGATAACAACAATAAAACCTGCAGCATAACAAAACTTTTACTTTCCGACTGTTATGAGAACACTCATTGGTATGAGGCTGTTCAATGACAAAATGAATTCTAGCCACAAAGCCATCTCCAACGCTATCAGTTGAAAAGCAGCGAAGCTGAACAATGCCGACTGATGCTTCTAAGAGAAGACAACTATGTACTGTACTATGTACTGTTATGTAAAGTTTTTTGTCTGAAAGGCAGCAGCCTGTTCTCTTGCAGTCAGCTCGACTGGCTGTACGATGCCATCACCACCAGGAGGCAGCAGTATTATGTAACATTTTTCTCTGAAGATGTATAGGTGCATTTTAAATAAGTGAATGTTCTTCAGTTACCTGGATGTTAAACAGGCTCTTTAGAACAGTGGTTAAAAGACTTTGAGTCTGCTCATAGAAAGCAGTTTGATAAATTTTCAAGTGGCTCTCTCTGTCCCCCTCTCATGCACACATGCTGCTTAAGCCAATTTTGAAATCGGTATTGCATAACACACACAAAAAATGTTCTGTCCAATTTTGGAAGCCCCTAAAGAACTGTTAGGCATAGCACATAAACCCAGAAGTTTCACAGTAGATCTCTATCCAGTGTCTATGTATATAAACCATGACTCTAACTACCTGTTTAAAGGCTTGACTCTTACTTACAATTTCTTTTCTTTACGTACTATGCATTGAGATTCATTCAGTAGAGAACACCATCACCCTTTCGGCAAAGATTTATTTGAAGTTGTAAAAGACTGTTTCAGTTTCAATCTATACGATATCTCTCCTAACCAAATTTGAAAACTACAAGCAAAATAGATAGTAAGTTGCTATACTAAAAATTGTTCAACTATTTACATTGCAAAAGTAAAAAGTAACTTGCAAAGTGTAAATGTTGTTGTCCATGGATTCCACTGCTCCTTTATGATTAATGAAGGCTAGCTCCTTTAATATAAAAAATACAAATTCCCCTCATTGTATTGTAATGTAATAATTGTGGACAGCAGCGCTCCTAGGAGCCAAAATTGGTAAACTGCAATAAACTGGCAGCAGGATTGCAGGCATTTCCATTCATTTTGAACACAAACAGAATGCTGATCAGGGCTTGCTAGAAAACAAGAACTCCATATGCATAATATTTCAAGCTTTCAACATTCCTATCCATTTTCATACATGTAAGATAACAATTTCAGACTGTTCCTTTTATAAAAACAAAAATACTCTCTTCCCCTCCTTTCCAGCAGAAGGGCAATTATAGCACACAACATGGATATGACACATACAGACTCAGACCTTTATTTTGTTCAGTTTGGGATGGTTCAAACCCGAATTCCCCTCCATGCTGTGTGAATTCTTTCATCACATGTCTATTTCCTTCTTCCTTCTCTGTCTCCCCCTTTGAGAAATTTCATCTAGACTCTTTCAGATGTCCAGGATGAAGAAATTCATTAAAGCTATTCTATTTCCTCAAAAAGGTTGTCATCATTCATTAGCATATTTCAGGTATGAAAAGCAGCACAATGACACATTTTAAGTACCATACAGGTAATCTTCATTGTTTTCTCTCTAAATGTTCATTTAAAACAAACATCTCATCATTAAAATTTCAGTAACATTAAAAAGCTCACAGAAAAGGAAAAGTTAAAATAAATATCTCTGGAAGAAGACAAGCTCCACACTATTAACCTCCAGGCCGCCACTAGAGAATGCTGAAACTTTTCTTAATCAGGTAACGCAAATACTGCATAAATGCCCTTCGCTCAGTGAAGCACAACTCCAAGTAGTATGTTGAATATATAGACAGTTTTAGGGTTACAGATTTAACACCTGAGCATGGAGGAAACCTGGAAAAGCTTATTATTCCACATATCACTAACTGTATTTGTTTGCTTTTGCAACTTCTTCTATAGGTATGAAATGCCAGGCAGTGCTACAGACAGAGAAGTGGTTTGCAACTTTGACAGACAGTACAATTCTTACTTCTGAAGTACACGCTTACCAGATTTCCTGCGTAGACTGTGCAGCATGCAGCTTCTTACCCTGAGTAGTTTCCAACTGTTCTCTTAACATCTGACACAAACAGTATTTTGTGTTGGTATAGTGATTATCATATCTCACTGCCTGGAGGAGAGAGACAAGTATATTAAAACATACCAAATAAGTTTACCATCCATAACGCTCATGTCTCTTAATGAATTTCAAAATCCTTTCGGAAAGGCAAACCACAATGTACAGTTTTCTCAATAACATATTAAAGACTACTCATGAACGTGAGTATAAACTGATTATTTTGGTAAGCTTTCATGAACAGAAGTTCAACTTATTCATACACTTATGAAGAAAGAGTTAACCAGTTTCCATAACTGACTAGCAACGTAGCGATATTTTAGTAAGCAACTAGTTAATGGTAGTCCAAATTTTCAAAAACAAAAATAAAATTAATTGATGACATGATCAAAGCCACAGATTTTTGATTAATTTCCCATTGTGTCATCGAAATTGTCTATTTTGAATACTAGATAAAGCTTTATATAATAGATGACTCAGTTAATGGAGCTATAAATATACAGCATTACTTTATTGGCAAATCATTCCCTTTGCTTCCCTGCTGTTGAAAATTCTTGTCCGTATTTATGAAAGGCAATTAATTTCTAAAAATCAATCTAGCAGTAACTGAGTATTTAATATTCCTTCACTTTTCTGTTCAATATTATTTGCACTGCCGTAACATCAAGAGAGTTGGCCTACATATCATTAGCTTTTCAAATTCCTAGACATTTTTAGATAATCTTGTAAGCCTCATAAATGTTCCCAAGAAACTAGGGCTAAAAAGCATGGTAAGTAAGAAAAGAATGATCAGGAAAAACTGCTTTCTGAATGCAGTTTTTCTGAACAAAATAAAACAGAGGAAGCAGTGGCTGATTTGCAAGATATGTCATCTGCAGTATGTTAGAATATCCCCAGAGCCCAAGTCTTTGAAATCAAGAGGTCTTAAAAAACTGTACTAAGATTTGGATTACCAATTCTAAGCAATGCTAACTACAAGTAAGATTTTCCAAAAAACATACATATTTGATGTAATCTTGCATGACTTCCTTCAAGGGGAAAAGACCCTCTTTTCTGAAGATAGATGGGTTCCACATGGCAGCACGAGCTATCATTACTGATGAGGCAGCTGTTGCTTTCTGGAAAGTCTCAATGTCTGTATATTCTTTGATGAAGTCATGGGATCCTCCACTAAAAATTAACATTACTGTTATAATCACAAAATTTTCATTTGCTACTACTTGTACTTTAACACAGCCTTAGTTTCAGTGTATTTTCTACATAGAAATGTGAACAGGAAAACCATTCTCAAATACCTGATCCAAGTACGTGGTTTGCAGAGATAGTTTTCCATGCATACTCAAGATCAATGAAGAAAGAATTTAAAGGACACTGCTTCTCTGGCCAAGGATATTCTTCTGCCACTTATAGAGCAGAAACATCTAGAGATGTTGCTCAGGCAGATCAGATACAATTCAGGACAGTTTGATACTTTTCACTACCTCCAAAATTGCTCTTAAAACTTACCTATTGGTAGCTAAACTTTTCTAAGACCAAGTTCCTTATGTTACTATCACAGAGTTACTGAAGGATCTATTAATACAAGCAGACAGATTCAGTAGGATCATGTCTGTATGTCTAGAGACTAAGGACATCCAAGGGAAAATGTGAGGCCACAGAATGTAAGTTTTTGAGCAGTGGGACAGGTGATCTCTAGTGTGCAAGTGTCCAAGATACACAGTGGCAGGGTTATAACCACTCACCGCAGAGGGCTTAAAAGCATAGAGAATTCAGCTGCTGGATGCAATCCGAAACAACTTACACAGGATAGATTGTGACACACAAAAGCAACACTTTTTGAAAAATACACGGAATTTTTAAAACTAAAAACTGAGGTATGGTGATATTTCATACAGCCAACTTCTGTCACTGCTACCTTTATTCAAAGTTGATCTTTGGTAACAGGTAGCATTGCATTCACCCTACAATTCCTGCACTTGCAAATCTTAAGTTAGGTAGAGGCATCTTGCAATGATGAGCTAATTAGTCCAACTTACTTTGCTATTACTGGAATGGAGACTGCTTCAGATATGACTTTTATCACATCGCAGTGGACAGGGTGCTGAGGCCTCTCCTCCTTCTTCCTTTCCAACAAACAAAAAAAATAACAAGACCAAAGATTTCCTATGGAATTTACAGATATCTGAATCACAGCAGACATGCCTCAAGAATTACTGCGACATACTTATTTCCAGTTATTTACTTTATATATTTGATGCCCTTTTCCTTTTTTCCTTTTTTTAAACAGAGGAGAATTATTTCTAATTTTAACATTTTAAAAAATTGTTACCCTAACTCCATATCCAAATAAGCAGCATTTTTTAGATACAGAGTATGCAAGATAATTTTAGTTTTATTGGGTCTTTGAGATTAAAATTTTAGAAAAATAGCAGCCAAGTGGTTCAATTCCCTAATCACTGTCCTGATACCAGATTAGTTAACAGTTGCAATCAGAACCACATATTTCATGCAGAGTATACTCCAGTCATATCTTACCATGTTACATTCACCAACAAACAAAAAAAATTTAATTCTCTTGCCTAAAATTGATTTACCTCCCATGGACTGCAATGGCAGCAATACCAGTTTTTTCTATTCTTTTTACCAGATTCACAGTGTCCTCAACCTGAGGGATAAGAGAGAACGACATGATCTTAGTTCAAAGAAGAAGGAATAACTATCATGGGATCCTTGTACAAACAAATGCTGGAAGCCTTTCCTTTCATAAAGAGGGATATGATTTCAACAGTAACTCCCAACATGCATAATCATTTAACAGGTACTTCAGCTGAAGAACTACATATGATAGCAGAAATAAGAATCCATTTTCAATACTTCCTTGAAACTATAGATCGCAAACTCTCTCAAACCAGGTAACATGATATTCTGTAGTAGGAGAATATTTTCCAACAGGTTTTTCGATTGTCATTTGAATATCATGATTAGCAAGTCCTTTCTAACCACTACTCTATAAATTGTAATTAAAATGCATCTCAATAAGGGGATGCCTTTTGAAATCAACATAACATGCAATCACACATCTATAAATATTCCTCTCAAATGCGTCTTTAAAAAAGTTAACTAGTACCTAAAAAATTCTAATGCTATTCATATATGACCAGTGAATCGAAAGATAAAGGGTAGAAAGAAGAAGCTGTCAGTGTATCTTCAAAGAGATAAGATGCTGTTAAAAGGCAGAAAGAAATATGGCATAGTGCTGGATTAGCCCCTCTTGTGCAGCTTTGGGGAAAAGGGAGAAAGAAAAAAAGGTAATGCAAATTTTCTTTTCAAAAGCTGGAGAATCACCTTTGGCTCATCACAAAAATAGCAGATTCGGCCTTCAAAAAATGCAACATCTACCAGCTAACATGGACAGAGACAGAAGCTCACTTGCTGTTCTGACGGATGACATGTTATGCAAAAGCAGCTTGAAACAAAAAGGAAGAGGCTCTAGGATAGTTGCAGAAAATAAAAAGGAGAGGGGCCAGTTCTTTAATGCTTCAGTACTTCAAAACCAAAACGACCTTACAAAGAGTTACTGATTCTTTTCAGACAGGCTTCATTTGCTCATTTAATCATTAAGTGCACATGTAAATGACTTTTGAATAATAGCTAGCTCAATTACAGTTCATCCATCTACAGAAATATCTATCCAGGTCACATGTAATGACAGTATCTAGGTAATTAAATACACATTTGCAAAATAATTTGTCGTTAAGAGAGAAGGCATATCATCTCCTGGAGGTTTAAAAATACGTAGGGAATTCAACTGAACAAAAAATCCACTAAAAACTACATCAGCTGTAAAACACAAAAGAAGAATCTATGCATTTTCACTACATTCTTAATAGTTAAATTTTAGAAGAATACTGACAAAACAAAATGTAACAGCAATATAACAGTCTTACCACAATTTCTTTGAAATTAATGATTGTACCCAAGAACTTATCCAAAAAAAAAGTCATTCTAATTACCATGAAGATGTCATGTCACTTCCAAGAGGGAAGATTATGAACCTCTTTGTATAAGCCAGCAATTTCAGTATTTCCATCTATCAAAGAGTTTCCAGAAAAGCTGCAGAAGTTGTATTTAATTCAGGTATCATTTGTAGTATTTATTGCTGTCAATGCACGTACAATAAATCAGGAGTCAAGTAACACAAAATTTCCTTGCAGTGTAGAATATGAGTAGTTTATAGAGCACGTGCATTTTCTCTTATAAACCCAATTTCATTAGTGCAATCTTCATTGTTAACATGAACATTGGAAGATGGAGAAGTAACATCAGGGCTTGGTGTCCCCCTCTTGAAGTTTAAACTTCAAGCAGACTGTCAAGAAATTCAAAGTTCATCACACTGTGCTTATGTACAACATGATATTATTCACAGACAATTCCACACTTGGCAGTCATTTCCTAAAATAAGAGTACATTTTTCCTTTTAATTTTGATTTAGTGCTTATTCACCAGTAAAAACTTTGGGATTAAACTCAGTGGGTTACAACAGGACTAAAATACTTTTTTAATAGATGCATCCACATTTGGAGTTCAACAGAATAAAACCATGTGTAGACATCTAATGCTTAGTATTCTCTTAACTTTTTAAACTGGAGAGGAGAAATGAAGTTTGGCTTCTGATGTGAGCAGCCAGAAAGGTGATCTGGTTGGAAGGGGAAAACTATTGAACAGAAGAAAATGTCTTCTGCAAAATACAGAGAGAAAATTCCTGCCAGCCTGAAAACCATTAGCCTGGGAACTCGGCCTGTGAACCAGAAGCATCCTTGATAAGTGCAGCTGGGTACCTAGAAACCAGCGACATCCTAATATACCATCGATAAGTGCAAAAACAAGGAACCATATCAGCAACTTATCACCTGAAAAAGGTAAAAAGTGATCTGGAAAAAACAGGAAAACATCCTGAGAAAGAATCTATAACTGCCATTGGCCATTCTAACTGCAAGAACATGAAAACAGGCTGGAAAAATAAAAATGTGTCCAAAAGAACAGAAAACAATCATCTAGTGCCTGCCACAGGTGAAAAACAGCAATTAACAGCATCTACTGGTTGCTTGAGGGGTGGTGCCCTATACCCTTTTCTGTCTCTGTTATACAAAAATTACTTAATGCACTTGATACAGGTATTATTACTATCAACATACATCATATATGCATATAAGCATATCTGCTGTTACATTATTGGTAAGTTTGCTTCACTAGTGATAAATTTGTAGTAACTTGTAATAGTATATACCTACGTGCATGTTGCTGATATTGATTGTTGCTAAAATTGATTGCTGCCATATTAATCATTGCTGTCATACTATTGACTGTTGCTACTAATAATTTGTAATAGCTTGAGAGCTTGAGCTATATCTTGCTTTACTAATCATAGCCATATTTGCTATGGTGATGTTTGTGCTATTTGTGGTAATCTGTAATAAAGTTGAGAAATTTAGAGAATAAAAGCCTCTGCGCCTTTGTGTATCATGGAATCTGACGAACCCACAACCACAATCTCTATACACCTGCAGGTCAGATAAGGTCCACAAACCTTTAGGTTGGGGCAGCATCAAAGCAGAAATTATAATTCCAAATGGTATTTCACAATAACGGCTAAAATGCCAATATACTAGAATGTCAGATATTCTAGCTGATTTAAAATCACAGAATTAAACAATAACTAAACACTTTAGTATAATGATTTATGTTCTTACTGAGGGCAAAATGCGGATTTTGCAGGTTACTGGTTTACAAATTCCTTTAACAAGGGTAGTCAATATCTGGAAAAAGAAAAAAAAAGACAAAAATGTGATCACAACAGTGACATTAATGAAGTTCTCCTCCTTTCTCTCATGCAGATACAAAGAAATTAGAACAATGTAACACTAGCTACTGTTCCTCTATGAAGAATCTTACATTCTAGATGAACACATGCAGTCTGGTACTGAGTATATCACTTTATCCCACGCATATATATACAAACCTATTTCTAGTCTAAGACATTTTTGTTTCCACTTCTTTTTCTATTTTAACTGGATTTTCAGTTGCTGGAGTTTCAACACTGCTTTTAATACGAGGTGACAAGCAAAGTCTGATAATTTCAAAGTAAATTGCAGAAGTTTTTCCGTTTTCATGCAACTGTTTTCACAGTCTTCTTATATTCGAGATGTGAGTTTCTTACGAAAACTAAGTGCAAGTATTCCTGAAAAAGAGTTGGTTTTTTGTTTTTCGTTTTTTTTTAAAGAGAAGAAAGCCTTCAAAATGGAAAAAAAATGAGAGGAAAATATCAAGCAACAACATAATTGAATCTTCTAAAAGAAAACAAAAATTGTAAACTGAATTCCATGCTTAACACAAAGCACATTTTATTCATCGAGTTAAACTCAGAACAAGCAGATAAATAAGCAGTTCTTAGTTTAACCATTGAAGAAGTAAGCTACAGAATCTCCTTTTCACAGGCTGAATTTAAGTCCAACAGACCATACCTAAAAGGGCCATGTAATGGCCTATACATGTTTAAATCACTGTAGGACTATATAATAAATGGTACCAGAAATCCAATAGCTCTCTAAATGAAAGATCGAAAACCTGATCCTTTTTGAGATACTGTCATGCATGTTATTTTAAGTACATTTCTCTTGTATAAAATGGCTGGAACTGCAGGCAAGTGATTTCTTTCAGAGTTGTCTATACTATCAAACTTCAATTTTGTTTAATGTTACTGCACTTACTAGGTTCCTAATAGAGAAAAGAGCTGTTACAGCTAGCACTCACAAGTTCTCATACTTAGAACTGCTGGCAAGTAATTAGCATCACCTTGCACTACTGAAATCTTTTCCTCAGTAGATAAAACAGTAAGATCCGAGAAAATTCTCTAAACTCCCCTCTCTTTAGTTTTTTTTATTTTTTATTATTTTTTGAATACAAATCAAACTGAAATTACTTCATTTTCCAAACATCATCACTAAAATATTTTTCTTACAATAGCATCATAAGCAAACCTTGTAAGCTTTAAGTGTCAGTCTCATTAAGGATTCCAATGTGAGAACCAAATCCTACACTTTTTAATTACATGGAAAGCTGGATTTGGAGCCGTAATTTCAGATGTCTTTTGCAGGCTATAAGTTTAGTTAACCCTTTGCAGTTGGCTAAAAGTAATTTTCATGCCTAAGATTTTGCTGCCTCTTAAGTGAAAAAGAACAATTCCAAGTTTTTGAACATCAAGTCTTATTCCTATGAGAAACATTTTCGACAGATTTACTTCTAGCCTGCTAAATATTTTCCTCTCAACCCACTCCTAATTTTTTTTATTTCAGCCTTCACCACCTCATGCTTCATAAAATACAATTTAATTCTGGATAGCATCACCCACCTTAGCTCATTTATGGAACACCATAGAGGGCTCAAAAATTTGGGTTCTGGTTCCAGCTCTGTTACCTGTATTGTTAGGTGACTTTCTGCAGATAACAACATTTAACTGAGTCTGCTTTCTCTTTTGAAAAATCAAGACTGATACCAACCTTCTCTAAAAATGTTTTGGGATCAAGACTGGATCGCTTGTACTCCCGCTTTTCCCATCAGCTAATGAAAGAGAGTAAAAGGTCTAGTCTATTCCATTTAGCCTCCTGCTTTGGCACAATTAATGATGCTTCCAGCTGCTGAATGGTGAGGTTACATAGCTTGGCTAACACTGTGGCTCTTGACACCAAATGATTATTACATTCGGCAAAAGCCTAACACTCCATCAGGGTTATAACTTCGATGACATGCCCTTCTAATGGCATGTCCTCTGAGAATGAAATAAATGACACAGAAAAACATGTTTTCATGTCTGAGCTTACAAAGAATAGTAACTAAGCAATAGATCAGCTTCTTGTAACTGTAGAAGTCCTGCTAGCCTACAAGGCTGACTGGTGTTATCACAATAAGAGGAAGGCTTTACAAAAAAAAAGACTGACGTAACATCCATTTTAGACTGTAGGAAAAGGCATGAACTGCAGGGATCAGAAAGAGACCAGCTATCATTTAGAAAAAGAGTCATTCAGATGAGTGAAGAGAGTCTGGTCTCTTCAGAAGACTGACCTACATCAAAGCATCCTTAAAACAAAGAACACTCAAAAACCACATGGAAACCAACAGAGCAGTGCTTTTGGTATTTTTGTTTTGTCCAGATCTGCATACTTCTGATAGTATACGAAACGAAGAATAACTACCTTGAAACATTTGTCACTGTGTACCACGATTCAGTTATTAGTGAGAGGTGAATTGTAAACTAGAATTGCTCTCAGGAACTCTGAAGGATCTAGTGAGCAACTAAAAGCTAAGGGGAAGCAAGACAAAGGTCACAGTCAACTCATCTGAACTATGAAGAATCAGGTCTTTAAACAGAAAGAAAATAAAAGCATTATATGCTAAGAATGTTCCTGGAAACCTAAGAGCAATGTCTGGACTGTGTTTTATCTCAAGAATCTCAGAAGTCCTTAGGGGGGAAAAACCCATATATATATATTAAAAAAAATATTGCATATCTATCTATATTACACATATATTATGTATGTGCATAATATACATATATGCATATTATATATGTAATATATACATACTATATATATGTAATATGCATACATCATATACTATTAAATATAGATTTTTTCATATAGGTGCAAATAGCGTTTTATATACATATAAAAGAATATACATACACGAATATATATACACCTATCTATGGACCTTTTTCATACTGGTTCACATAGGGTTTTATATAGATTTACACACATATGCACATAAAACTCCTCCCTCTGCAAATGTAGCACCACATTGTTAGTTTTAAACCTGAAAAGGAAGAAGGTAGCACTCTTACAGTCCAGAAAATAATGAGAACTAAATCAGGATTTTGTATCCATAACCTTAATTTCAGCATTCAAAATTGATTACTCCACTTCAGCTTTTACAAATTTGCCTTCTACACAT